CACTTACATTGAATAATGTCTATCAGTTGCTGTTCCCATGACGAGTTTCCTAACTCCGCGATCAGATATCAGTTGGAGAATCCCTTTCTCTACCGAATCCATTTCGATAAATATCTTCTCTGCACTGACCTAATTCACAATTTAACTTGAAATTTAGTAATCAAAACATCACTTGCACCACCAAAACATTAAACAATAATAAGTAATCATTACCTGCATTTGCCTGCATATATTAAGGTACTTATCCAAATTCTTATGCACTTTCTCCTTCTCTTTTCTATTACGGACTGAGCTTTGTATCGGTTGATGAACATAGACGATGCAAAACTCTTTGCCTCCTCCAATGTTCTGTATCGCCCAGACGAGACTAGACTTGCTCTCTAGATCTTTCCCTACCACTGCTACATAGATCTTCTCATCCATCACCATCTCCCTCTTGCTAATTTCAATCGAGCCAACCATTTTCATCGTTTCTTGGATCGGAATCTTTAGCGTCATCGTCACTACGGTCCATATAAAAAAGAGCAAAACAGAGTATTTTTTTTTTTTTGGTAGAAATCAAGTGATAAAGATTTGATCTAACACAGTATTTGATAAGCCAAACTATTCAACTCTCAAATATATATAGAGAAAAGCAAAAAGGCTGCGGTTATAAGACCAACCGCGTTATCTAATCACGAAGTCTGTGTTCGATATAAGCCTTATTACAGAAGCTTAATCAGAAATTTATTAGAAAATTTCGAATATAATGGATAAGTTTTTGACTTTGAATGAGCCGACCAAAGAATGTGAAAGTGATGGTCTCTGTCTTTGTCAAGAGAAATGTCAGAGATTACTGAAATTGAGATCGAAATTTCAGATACAAAGTAAAATAAATTTGTCACATTCTTCAGGTTTTGATGTCGTCACAAGCTACGTATAAATGCTTACTGCTTAGTTCAGCTCTCGTTTTGCATGTGTATTTACGGTAATGCCCCTGCAGTCAACCGTTTTTTAACGACCTGGTCTCATTAGCCGCGTAATAATTAGTCTTAAGGTTTAAGTTACGAGTTTCATTTCAAAATCATTAAGCAAACAAAACTAACGTCAATAGTTTAGATAATTTATAAAAATAATGTTGTTTTTATTTCATGTGAAACTGATAGTTTCAATAGTTTTTTTCACGAGTACATATAAATTATTCAAGCAGAGACATCATCTCTGAGATCACCATTTCAAAGTTAATTAAATTACACATACCAAGGTACAAATCAGATCTCCACTTATAAATAGTCAGTTAATAATATCCAAACATACACTTAGAGCATCTCCAATAGTTTACACTATTTTTTATACCAAAATGGTATTAGATTTTGTTCCAATAGTTTACACCAAATTTTACACCAAAATATAATATTCTTAATAGATTCTTTTATTCAATTCTTTAAAATTTACAAATTAACCCCATTTATTTTTTTTAAGTTTAAAAAATTATGAAATAAATTAAATTTAACATTTATTATATAAAAAAATACATTGTAACATATAAAATAACAAAATATATTAAGCTTTTGTTTAATTATTATCAAACATATTAGATTTTGGGTTTAACCATCACAATTTATATATATTTTTCATTAATTTTAAAGTTTATTAAAATTTAAAAGACCTTTTTATAAATAAAAAAGTTATTTGGTGTAGAAAATGAGTTTACACCATTTCAGTGTTGAAAATAGTGTTGGTTGGAGAGAGTTTTACACCAAAAAAATAAATTTGGTGTACCATTGGAGATGCTTTTATAAGTTTAATTTAAGTCCCTAAACTTTGTAATTTTAGCTTTGGTTTCTGAACTTTTGTGATTAAACTTTTAATCCCGTATCTTTGGGAACTGAAGTTAACTCTTAAAGCTTATC